TGTCATAAGGGAGGCCGAGGTTGGATAATGCTGCTTTTTGCTGCGCTGGTCTCTTGATTAAGCTCTCCAGCTTGCAAGCCACCAAACTTCGGGTCTTTTTAGTGAGCTGTCATCTCTCCGTTTAGGTGGTGTTAGGTGCCCCTTTTAGGCAGCCTGTGGGTAGTGCCAAAATGCACTGCACCTGGGTCTGCCCCCTCCCCTTCTCCTCCCCTTTTCACCCTCCAGGTCTCTCTTCCTCTCTTCTAGATGGAGCCAGAAACAGAGTCTGTATGTTCTGTTTTCCAGGAGCCTCGGAAAAGTGATACTGCGGGACGTACGGGTGAGATGTAAACTCTGCTATTTAAATCCTGGAGAGAAGCTTGAGGCTCCACCAGGTGGTACTGGGGGTGTTGCCTTCCTTCTTCTTAGATGGCTGCTCTCTTCTGCGTTGCTAGGATGGTATGGAATGCTAGGCTGGGGCAAGGTGGTCAGTGGTGGTTTGTGTTTCTTTCTGTTGTGAGTTTCTAGTAGCTGTTTTAAAAGAAGACAATCCAGTTCATTTGGAGTGAAGGAAAGCTAGCACACTTATCTTTTTTTGGGGTTTTTCGTGGGTGGGCAGGGTCTGAGGGAGTTGTGCAGCTGCGTCTGAAATGCGTGACTCCCCAACTCTGGATGGGAACAGAGAGTTGTTCAGTTCTCATTTCACTGTTACAGACCTGAGGTCTCTGCATAAGCCTCTGGGAATAATCAGCCACGTGGCTGTAGAATGAGGGAATGACTTGCTCCTGTGAGAAGGAGTCTTCATCCCTCTGGGAGAAAGCTACCTCTTAGGTGTAATTCCTTGATGTAAGAGGAGTCTCGCTCCCCCAGTATGTGTGTTTTTCTTTTATTGCTGGTATTTAGATCTTGGCGGTTGTGGCTATGTAAATAGAGTGCGTTTTGTCAAGGGCGTGTTACTTAACAATTATATTCTTTGGTGTCATAGAGGTAGGACTGAAATTGTACTGCAATTTTACCTTGAATGTGGAAAGCCTGGGTTTTTGTTAGTGGAATTGTCAATCTTGATGTGTTAAATGGAAGTATATGTAGCGTGAGTAACTGGATATTTTAATGTTAGATCAGAGATACTTACGGCTAAGTCCTCTATTTGAATTAATAGTAAACATCTTAAGATGCTTGCAAAAATCAAGCTTTGATAAGTGCGCGTCTGGTGATACAATTCTGTTAATGCTGAACTAATGTAACTATAAAATTTAGTCAGCAGAGTAACACAAACAAAGCTTACAGTGGGGTGTGTGATGATACATAGTGATTTGTGAAATACATAGGTTGCATTCTTTAGGAAAGAAGGGGCCATGTTTGAATGTTTCCTGTGAACTTCCTCGGAAAGCAGTTTATTTATCTTGTCTCTACAAGAAAAATAGGTGTCATGCTAGATCAAGATATGAAAGACATAGTAATAGTTAATTGGCAATTAGATAATTTTTTTAATCAATAAAGATTTAACTCCTTTGACTTCTGATGCATGAATATGCAGTATCCCTATAATAATTATACCTGTTCTTGTGATAATTGGGGGGAAAAAAAACACCTGATGTGCCAACCTGTAAAAGAAGTAATTAAAATTTTTTCAGTAAATACTAAGTAACACAAGTTAGAAACAACCTAAACCTCCCTGTTGATTTTGCCTAATGAAGATTAAGGAGACTTTTTTGTGTTGAGCCATTCCCACCCAGACGCACAGCGTTTTGAAACAGAGTTTTAATACTAATTTAGTAGGTTTGGAAGGCTTTTGAGCAAAGTCTGCAGGAACAAATAGCTAGAAGTAGATTTTTTTTTTTTTTTATGGGTAACATGTTTCAGAATCTTCCTTTTCCTTCCTTCGTTTTGGCAGTCATCTTTTGACATTCCCTGAGGGGAGGAAGAACAAGGAAATGGGGAGGGGAAGGAAGAGAAGAGGTAGGTTTCTTACCTCTCTCTCCTTCCCTGTGCCACTTTTTATTTTCTTTGTCTTCTTGCCTCAGTCTTCTGTCATTTCCCTTCCTCTTTGGAAAAGGGGAATCTGGTGCAAGTCGATGTTAGGCCTGAGAAATTCAGTTATTCCACAAGGAGCAGCTTATCTGTCTCAGGGAAGGAGGAGTGACAGATTGCTCTCTTACTCCATCAGGGGACTGCATTTTGAGTGACAATGAGGAAGAGAGGGGCATTCCGGGGAACCTTAAGAAAGACTTCACTACTGCTTCACTACTGCTTCAGCTACCTGAAGCCCACAGCTTAAGCTGTGGGGCAGCCCGTAATAAACCCCCTCACCAAAAAGGAGCCTCCAGGAAACTCGCCGTCATCGCTGATGGTCAGAAACCCTTCAAGTGTACAGAATGTGGGAAGAGCTTAAAGGGAAGCACCATGCTCCTGAATCACCTGCAAACCCACACAAGAGAAAAAGCGTTTGAGTGTGAAGAATGTGGGAAGAGCTTTAGCAGGAAGGCCAACCTGGTGGTGCACCAGAGAACCCATACGGGGGAGAGGCCTTACAAGTGCAAGGAATGTGATAAAAGCTTTAGTCATCCCTCAAGCCTTATTGCTCATCGCAAAACCCATGTGAAAAAGAAAGGCTCTTTCTGCACCATGTGTAGGAAAAGCTTCAGTGAAAGCGCAGCTCTCTTCCAGCATCAGGGAGTCCATACAGATGAGAAGCCCTGTAGGTGTACCAAGTGTGGAAATAGCTTCTGTCTGTGCTCAAACTTCATCGATCATCAACAGATTCATTTGAGAGAGAGACCCAGTGAGCACACAGCAGGTAACTGAGTTAAGATCTGTTGAGTTTTATTTCAAGCTGTACAGACTCACAGATACTGTCGTCTCCCTTTGTTTCTAAACACTTCCCCCTCCTTGCTGTGGGTATGAATGGGGGAGGTTTGTTTGGGTTGGTGGGTTTGTTTGTTTGTTTTTCTTCCTGTATAATATATTTATCTCTGCCATTTGGAGAAGTGCCTTGAAAATGCCAAAGCTGAAATTTAGGCTTTGCCATGAAGGCTGCAAAGCTCTCAGATCCCACTAATTCCTCCTTCGTAGTGTTGCCTGATGTCTAGCCCTAGATCTTCAGAATTGCTCAGCCAACAAAATACTGAGCTTAGGGAAGTGGAAGGGTTTTAGACTGTGAATCAAGGTCTTGGTAATCTCTAGCAGCTAATTTTTGTTACATGTGGGTATTACATGACCAGCTTTTTGTCATCTGCAGTGGGAAGTTAGAAGTAGACATCCCTCTGTAATACTCTTATAATACTCTTAGCATAGCACAAGCTGTCAGGCAAACTGATTGTTTGAAGTAGGGAGTTTTCTGGAGTTTGCAATATTCCATGTTCTTGTAATGACCAGAAACTCTTGAGATAAAAACAGACATTGTGGTTTTTTTTTTTTTTTCTGTTGTTGTACCTTTACATGGGCAGTGGCTTTATACTTGGTCAAAAATGTTTTAATTTTTAGTCTTGAGTCTTGCCTAGCCTCCTATAGAATTATTCCGGGTTTTGGGGTCTTGGCCACCAGATCATGTAACAGCAGGGCAATTAAAACATGAGGCCGTATGAGTAGAAGGTGTTTTGTGTGTGAGTTTTTTTGTGTTTTTCTTTTAATTGGTTTTATTTTGTTTTTCCTCCTGAAAAAAAATTTCTAAGCAGGAGAGCCTTTCATCTTAACAATGGAAATAATAATGAATAATAATGTAGTTAGAGTGAAATGGCAAAACTGAATTCCTAATGTAGGGTTTAAGACCACTCAGTCCATAGATACAGAGAGATGGCCTAGTAACTCTGCTAATGAACTCTAAAGATGGGACCTTACACTCCTAATGTTTTTTTTTTTCCCCCCCCCCCCGAGGGCTTTTAATATTTTTTTAGATGTAAGAGTTTATAATTCGTAAGAAAAAAAACCCAAACATATTCTCATTTTTACCCTGGCAGTTGGCCAGTAATTAATATCAGATCAGCCTAACGCTGTACCTGCTCCAAAAGAAAGTGTGCAAACTTATTCTGGAGAAACTGTTGGCTACTGCATCGTTGTGATTGAAGCTCTGTAATAGAATTGCTTTTATGATCAAACATATGCCACATTGGCCTTGCAATGTGTGGATTAGGAATGAAACTTGTTTTGTGTATCTGGTATAATTTGAAAGAAGAAATGTGCATATTTATAACTTACTTTTTTACTAAATCTGAGTTGACCTATTCCTTCGCAGCTCCCTCAATCCAGCTTTGCTTCCTAGCCCCCCCCCCTCCCAAAAAAAAAAAGGTATGGGAAAAGCAGGAGGAAGGTATCTTGACTGTGATAAACCCCAAGTCTGTAATGTTTCAGGGATCTATATTTGCCTGGCCTTTGTTCTGGTTTGGCTTAGTTTGGGCCAATATGTGACTTGAATGAAGTTTTAAGTTTAAAACGTGGGCGAGAGGAAGGGTTGTTACTGAGCTGCCTTTTCCTTCCGTGGAAGCTTTTGAAAATGCTGACCTAGCAACTGGTGATAAAGTGGGCTCTTGGTTTACACTGTCTTCCTTTTAGATGCAAACCATTCTAAATTTACATCTCTGCATCATAAAGAAGGGGGAAGGTGTGGTGCAGAGAAACGTGAGCCAGGTGACTTGAATCTTGTTCTTGAAGAGTGTAAGTATAAAATTAGGCTTCTAAATTGCCACACCCAGTTGTTTTAGATAGCAAGCATTAACAGTCTCTTCTCTTTGTACAGTGAAGAAAATGAGGGAAAATATGGATATGCTGCTTCTGAATCAGCAGAGTCAGCTGCAGGTCCTGCAAGAAATTCAGAAACAACTGAATATACTCCTCCCAGGCAATGATCTCATTAATGCAAACGTCTATAGCTTAGGACTTCTGCTAGGACGTCAGGCAGCTGCAGCGGCGTCTCTTTCTTTTCCCCTTCGCAATCCTAGCAGTCTCCTCCCTGAAAATGCTAGTCGCTTATCCCAGTCATCTGCTCCTGGAAATCTGCCTGCTACTCAGATCCCAACCCCTTAATATCCTGCTGCTTCTAGAGCTTGATCACCTTTGTGCTGTGAATGTATCCAATGTAAAGGAACGTGACTACTGTTTTGTACTGTTTTCTCGCTCAAACATGTGATCTCTGTGTTATAATGTTGAAATTGTAGTGCCTGTGAAGATGCTGACCATACACTCAGTCTTGGAAAGATAACATGCCTCGGATGCATCGGCAAACAGCAGTTGATCAAATCCACTGCCCATGTGCTGTTGAGGCATGCCGACATTTTGGCCAGTGATGTATTTTGTCAAGGCAGCTCAAGAGATCTTTATCACCTGAGTATAGTTAAGTGCAACGTCCATACATAAGATAAAGCATAAAACTTAAGCATATTTTTCTACCTGATGTCTTTAATATGTACTTGGGCAATTGGACCTCTCCTAATGAGCTGAAGGTAATGATAAAATCATCAGGATGCTTTAAGCAACTCCTGTTAAGTCTGATGTGTATACAGAGGTGAACAACAAGCTTGTGTAAAAGTGTGAAATTTAACTGCACCTCTATTCCCAGCATCCATTTGCAAAAGCTTCCTTCATTCAGGAAGGCTTTAAATTAGGTGACCTTAGCTGATCCTTAGGCAAGCATCACTACTAAAACGATGAAAAAAATTTCTGTTTTTTGTTTAAAACAACCAACCAACCTCCCCTCCAAAAAAAAAAAAGAACAGAAACAAAACAATGATCCTTAGGCAAGCATCACTACTAAAACGAAAAAAATTTCTGGTTTTTGTTTAAAACAAACAACCAACCTCCCCTCCAAAAAAAAAAAAAGAACAGAAACAAAACAGCAAAATACCACCATTCAGGTCTGCCTTGCCTACTAAGAGTTTATGAGGAAAAGCCAGATTGGTTTATAGGACACTTGTTCTTTTTTTCAAAGCCGAACTGATTTGAGTCTGTTTTTAGATATTCTCTCATATCCTATTTGTTACGTGTTGTTGACTGTTACATATTAGTTCACTGGGGGTAGTGCTGGGGTAAATAATTCCCGTTTGGGAAGGAACACTGGAAGCTCAGGTGCACCATCTTGTGAAGTCTGCAGGGGGAAAATTTTTTCAATTGTTTTATTCCCCCCCGCCCCGTTCCTGCGGGACTCTGACTTTTTTTTTTTTTTTTTAAGGCTAGTTGATTGCAGAGTTTTAAGGAGTGTGAATCCTTTCTACCTCTTTGTTTCTGCCAGTGACACAGGCTAGTAGCCATGTCAGAGCCTTTGAGCTTCAAAAGTGCAAAAAAGCTTTGCACAGCTGCTGGGATAAAGAAACTTTGGGGCTTGTGCCTATGCCAGTCTTTCCCTTGAACTGACATTGTGTTTATGGGTTGTTGGCTTTGTGGAATTTTTTTATGATGCCTTGTTAAAAGGATGCACTGTTAGTAATTAATAAAATAAGATTTAGATTTAAAGAATAGGAAACACTACTTAACAAGTTGTCTTGTTGGTGACAGTGCAATGATGTCAGATTCCGGCCCAAAGATAAAACTCTGTGGGATCGGCTATGACTCTTTCTGTGTGTGTGAGTACAGACTGCATATCACACACTGGTTCTTATGTAGGGTTTTGTATTAGTCTTAACTCAGTCGGTATTCATTTAAGCCAAATTGAGAGGCCTTAAAGGGTATTTCTCCAGTGTGGACTTGTACTGAAATGTTTGGGATGTGTTTGCCGTCAGTTGAGCGTGTCAGTCGTGTGGCTCTAGACTTAAGTGCTCCAATAAGAGTTGCTAACATTCTATGGAAACTCTGGGGTATTGTTCATAATTTCTTGGATGTTTAATTTCATTTTGCTTAGAGACAGAATCCCCTCTTCAAAGCAATGGTTAAAGTTTGTATTTTAGTGTTTTTTAAGATGTTCAGTATTAAAACTTTGCATTTTTGTTAGAAATTAATCTTTGGTGAGCTTCTGTCCTTTATAAAAGAGCACCAGTGCTCAGGTTTTGATACCTGAACTGGAGTTCAGTTACTGTAATGTATGTGCCTTCCCTGGCTCCTTCTGCTTTGCTCCTTCTGTCTTCCCCTTTCCCTGCATCTAGGCATCTCTGTATGTTTCTGTCTTTGGATACTCCTGAAAAAGAAGACATAGCTAAGTCTGCCAATTCTGCGCATTAGACCAGGTAAGTGGGATCTCTTATTTGAGGGCTTGGGTAGGATTTTTCGCCTGTGGGGAGGGAGTTTGTATGTGATGTTTCTGTTCATAGCTGGCAGGCTCAGGAGCAGTTTGTAGCAAACCTAAGGTGAGCTACATCCTTTTATGTTGGTGTTCTCTAATGCGTTTGGTCCCATTTGAACCTGAAGATAATCAAGTCCTGAAATACCTCTGAACTGCAGATGTACTGGGGACTGGGGGAAGTGTTGATGTAGAGCAGCACAAGAAACCATCATGCTTCCTATTTTTGGGTTACCTCTCCTTCTAAGTAAGTGAAAGTGGAAGACAGAAGTCTTTCTCCTCCTATCTTCCCAAGCACTTAAGTGCTTCTGAAAAACACCGTTGCTAAAAATACGCCTATTCCTAGGTGGAGTGAGGCTTAAGGGCTTCTTGACCGTGTCGGAACATATCCGGAATGCTTCCTGCCTCTTTTTCTTCCTTCTGTTGCTCTTGCAATGATCTAAAAGGGTCTGCGGGGCAATATCTGATAGCCTGCCAGGGATGCTGGAGAGCTTTGCGGTGACCACATGTATATAAGAGGATACTACAGATGCTTTCCTGGTGAACTTTGAGTCTGTGGTCTGTGCAGGTGTGTTCGCTGGGGACTGTTCAATGTGTAGACAAG